TAATAGTACTTTGAACTAAATTTCAAAACATGGGATGCGTGCAATGTGGTGATCCACATGCATCTGATTCTGATCGAAAACACAATGAGGCTGAAAAATATGCTCTTTGCGGATAAGGACATCCTTTGAGGTACAGAGGCTACGCAGTTTATAAAAATCTCCGGGGGTAAAAATCTAATAACATAACAATAAAAATTCTAAATCAGAATAGAAACTCTGCCTAAGCCGGTACCAAGCCCGGTTTGAAAAAGAGGAGGGTTGAGGGCGGGAAAGGCATCCTACTATTGTTAAATATTTTGCTACGAATCTTTCTAACAGTTATTATGATATCGGCAAAGGTCAATAATAATATACCCATGTGGACCAATTCGTATACGGAGACCTCCCAACCAATGCCTAAAGTAATAGTTGATAGAAGGGCTCTGAATAGATTTTGTATAAGGCACAATAAGACAACAAAGTGTGTATGGGAACTTGGAATATTAAAAGCCTAATCCAAGGAAGGACAAGCAGAGGCCTAGAGAATGAACTGGAGAAGTACAATGTAGATATTTTGGCCCTACAAGAGATCAGATGACGTGATGTGGGTATGGTTGAGCTTCAGAAATATATTCACATCAACAGCGGTAACAGGCAGAATACGTTGGTCTTATGATAACAAAGAACCTAAAGCACATGCTAACAGAATAGCAGGGTATATATGAATGCATCTGTCGTATAAAACTTTAAAAAATATTTATTAATATCAGTGTGATAAGTGTACAAGCACCATCAGAGCAAAAAGATGAAGGAAATGACGAATTTTATGAGACCCTGAAAAGGATACACGAAGCTTTTCCTAGGTATAATTTTAAGATTGTAATTGGATAATTACATGCTAAATTAGAAAAGACCTACATACCTCCACACCTACCATTAGTATACAAACCAAGCAAGATCAGTGCAATGACAATGTAATCCGAATAGTTAGTTTCACATAAGAAAAGAAACCCAGGATTATGTGTACCTACTTTACGTACAAAGAGGAAACATGGATATGCCCTGACAACATGACTAGAAACCAAATTGATGATGTTCTGATAGATTCGAGCCATGCCTCACACATTTTCGATGAACAGAGTTTCAGAGAAGCTTCTGCCTATTGTTACCACTTCCTTGTGATAGCGAAGCATAGGCAGAAGCTCACTAGAAGAAGAGGTGGACCGGGCGAGCCATTATTATCGTATGATATACAAAAATTAAAGGAAGAAACATAGTGAAAGATAACATGGCTACAATAATAACTCTCCTGCAGAGCTTGTCAGCGGAAGAGTGCTAAGAATTTGTAACAGTAACTCTTGAAAAAGTGGCTCAAGAGGTCTTGGGAAAGCGACCAAAAGCTCCTAAGGATGAATGGTTTGACGATGAATGGCAAAGAGCGTTAACAGCTGAACGATATAAGGCTCTTTAAATAAACCATAAACCTCCTATTTTGTGCGTATTCTCCAGGTCCATCCACCAACACTACTGCAAATATCCTACGAACAAATTTTAGCTCGAACGAAGTAGAATCTCTTCATTACATTTGACCGTAGTCCAAGTTTCTGAGCCATATATTAGCACTGGATAGATTATGGTTATGTACAGATATAATTTAGTTTGGCGGAGAGAATGTGGCCACCAAGCTATTTTCTCAATCTGTAGTAACACGAAATAGCAATATTATGTATATGGTGATCCACATGCATCTGATTCTGATCGAAAACACAATGAGGCTGATAAATATTATGTACCTTCTAATTTATGTTTCTGTGCTATTGTCCTGTGTTACCATAGAGCCTAGATAAATAAATTCGTTGACTTACACAAATCGATAGCTCACGAATATCACCATTTCATTGCATCCAGGCGTCTCTTCGAACACCATGTATTTGGTTTTCTACTGGTCACCTCGAGCCTAAGTTTACTTGCAGGACCTACCAGTGCTTGAAAAGCAGCCTTGACAGCCTTTTGAGAGCGCTAAATGATGTCGAAAAAGTCAGCATAAGCCAGTATTTGCGTACTCCGACTGAATATTGTCTGCCCCACCTGTATGCCAGATTCTCTCAGCCTTCTTCAGGGCAATATAAAATGAGAAGCATGCGAAGGCGTCACCCTGCCGTAGGCCTATCATCGCTTGGGATTCCTCGCCTAGATCTCCACCAACGAGCACTGAACAGAATACCTCATTCATGGTCCGCCTCATTATATGAGTATACGTATGACCTTCTGAGGGATTTGAAATTCCCCCATCGCTACCAGTTCCACAATTTCCTCAATATCCTCCTCATTGGGCGGTTCTAATTCGAATAACATATTTCCAACAAAACGTAGGGCTCTGTTAACGGCCTCGGAGTTGGCATTTGGGTCCGGAGGTCTACAAAGTATCTCTTCCAATCTGCTTTTAGTCAACTTATCAGTAAGAAGATTGTTTTCTTTATCCAGGCAAGAGGTCTGGATACCATTTAAAGGCTTTCTGAGCTTACATATTCCGCAGAAAAACTCTCCTAATCTTTACTTCCGTGCAGGACTTCTATTCACTGCAACTCTTCACGCTCTATCTGCTTCTTCTTCCTACGATGAAGTCTTTTCCCCTCTCGACGAAGCCTCCTGCACTCGACAATACCTCTCGTCCCCCTATTCATCATAGCATGACATGCCACATTCTTTCGGTGAGTTGCATTTGCATATTCGTCATCAAACCTCGAGGATAGACATTTTATCTGGACTGGTCGGAGAATTACATCAGTCGTTTCATCCAAGGTTTTGAAGCAGGCCTGCCAATCATCCCCTATCGATCCTCGTTCATGGTGTGTTAATTTTAATACATTGTCAAGTTCGACTGTTTACCGGTTTATTACCATTGGGTCTTAGAGGTTCTGCAAATTGAACCTTATAAACTTAATAAAGCTCAGTCTGGATGTCAAGATCTTGGCTGTAAGGTGTGCTACTGAGAGGTAGTGGTCAGAGTCGACATTAACTCTTTGGAATGTTCTCCTAACGAGCAGATTCGATTATGTGACCTCAATATCAATATAAGGTATGATCGATTTGGTTAACAGCCAATCTATCTGGCGTGATTCGCGTACCTTTATGGATATCCTTGTGCGGAAATAGCACTCTATTACACACTACAAAATTCAATTATTTTCATGTCATATCCAGAGTGCGCATCAAAGGTTCTTTCAAGGAGATTATAAAACAGGCCCTTCTCCTCGCTAGCTACTTCCGTTGGGGGATGGATACGAAGAACAATTTAGTTACAGAATTTCTCAAGGATACAGATGAAACATGTTCGCAGACTAATGGCCTTAAATCCATTAAAAGTCGTGAAGAAGCGTCTCCCGCCTCAAATCCAATACCAAATTCATGGAGTCTGTCACTGCACCTATAATATATAGCTACTCTGTTGTTTTAAAGTTTCTAAGGCGAGTAGGGGGTTCCAGGAACCGCATTTATTTGTATTTATATGTATTTATATCGGTCCCAGAAGGGAACCGATCAACTTAAAAATATATTAATGATGGATTTAAATGTTCGATACCACAGACCCTCTACTGTAGTATCCTAGATTGAACCATATAATTTTTATTGGATTTCTTTTCTAAAGGTATCATATTTTTTAATTTACTAGCTGTTTCTATTACTAATTGGTGGCATGCAAGGTATAATGTAAAATTAACAAGATGGTTTACTAACTATTATATTTACATATTTAAATAACCAAACCATATATACAAAATAATGAACAAACCTATATACATAATGAATAGTTGAGAATCATACTAAAGGAGAATGCTTGATGTTTGATTAAAGTTACATGTGTTCTATTGATTCTATTAATTTACGATTTATGGTTGCCAACACAAGTTTAAATCTGCATAACTAAATGAGGGTTATTACCTAGCTGGTTCTTCATTATCTTCGAGTCTCCTTCCATGTCGCTCTCCTCAGCCTCCGTCTTCCTCCCAGTGTTCAACCGTCTTCGCTTGAGTCCCAGCTTGAAGTGTCCTAGCCTGAGTCCCAGCTATCAGTCCATATCTTGCTCTCTCCGCCTCTCCTGATCAAGTGCAAAATTCTAACCGTCCTAGCTTCCAGTCACCCCCCTCTCTTTTTGTACTTTTTCCTGATTGGCTGAATATTCCTAGCCTAAGGGATGACCACGCCCTCTCCCCCAGGCCAAGGTATTCCACTAACCAGGTATATTTTACGTATTTCTGGAAGGTGTTAATGCTCTTTGGATCCTGTTTAAACACTCAGCGTGAGACTGTTGTCGGTCTTGGTCGGTGGTTCTTAAGGGTTTTTATTACCACTTACAAAAGGTTGTCCTCGTGGGTCGTTACCCTCGCTCAGGTACCGCCAGATGTGAGCACTTATGATATTTATTTATTTAGACCTTTAAAATAATTAAATGAGTTCCACCGGCGGTCTTTAGAATACAAAGCCTTCTCTGTCTCATCTGTCTTTCAAGTAACATTGATGCAGCTAGAAGAGGAGCACTGGAGTTTATATATTGCTATCTAAATAATATTCGGAGCTCCCAAAGCGAATGCGTAGCTGTAGTAAATAGGTATGGATGTGTTATAGATGATTTAGCTAACTTTAGTCTGAATTCTTCATTTCATACCATATTTTACAATTCTTTTTCTATATTTTAGCTGCTGTCTTTATAAGGTAATAAATGTACTCGGTTGTAAAACATTTTAACTAACATATTAAAATGTTTGTTAGCTACAATACTTTAACGCCAAAAAGCAGTTATTTTTTATAGCTTAATGAAAACATTAATCCTTAAAGACACAAATTTCCCACAGATTCTATCAACATTCTATGATATCAGCTGTAGGGAATCCGGTGTTGCCAAAATTTTCAGTTCTCAAACAAGTCAGATACAATGCTTTACAACTGAGTTTCTCATTTCATTATATTTCATTGCATGCTAATATAATAATAAAATTGTTCATATCTTTTCCATTTTTCAGGAGTGGGACATGTATGAATTCATAAAATCATTGATTGTAATAAGGACCGGAGTATTGGGTAATAAAGACCAACCTATCTGCCACACACCTCTACCAAGTGATAATGAAGAGGAAATACGATATTTCATAAAAAATCATTTCCCTCTGCACAGAAATAGAAGAAGAAAAACTATAAAACGAATCCCAGACGAATTGGGAAAACGTAATTTCAGAAGACTTATCGATATCCGTAAATCATTTAAAGATTCTCAGAAAGTGATCACCAGAACGGAACGAAAGGAGGCAATTGAATTACGTCACAAAATCAACTTGTACATGCTAACTCCGGAAGAAAAAGAATTTTTAGGAAAATTAAGATTGCTTCACCGCTTTTTTTTGAAGAGGAGATACAAATGTCATAAAAGAAAGCAGGCGGACAGGATTGAATGGAGGATCACGCCCATATACAGCATTAAGAAAAATTCCCCTTTTACACACGATGAGATAGTGATAATGTGTGTCGGAACTGGACACATACATTATATTGGAAAATTAACAAAGAAAGAAATTTTATTACTGACTGAAACAGCGGAAGAGTTTCATAATAACGGCCTTCTCAATATTGACAAAGATAAAATTTATATTTTGGCTAATGTCATTCCGCTTATAAAAACAATAACCACATTAAATATAGGTTTAAAAATGAGAATATTAAATTCGAAAAAGTATGGAAAGGCTTTTCGTAACAAAATTGAGTACCTTTTTCACCATTCGAACATTGCTTTGAGAAAAGCAGTTCTGCTTGACAATAATGTAGATATCACCTGTGAACGCTGTAGATGTTATGTGAAGAAACCTCTCGTGAAAGGAGACTATAAATGTGATCCATACACATTTGTTCACAATTTATCGGATCCACTAACAAAAGTAGAACAACTTGCGAAGATGGCAGTTCGATTGACCGCTTTAAAACATAGGGCTATGAGACAATTCACGTTCAAAATGTGGGAATATAAAAAGCTTGGAAGGTCTTTCTTTCGATTCGTACCAACTCGCGATTTAGCAAAGTTAAAAGCTATTCCGCGTGCTCTTCTTCACAACACAAAGAACACGCCTTACGGCATACCCCATGCTATCCCAATGTCTCTTTACAGACTTTTTCAATGTACTATCGCTGAAAAGGGAATAGGGGAACAATGTGATCATAGATTGAGGGATTCCGACGATCTTAGTTTGATTTTACGGAGTTTAGAAAAATATACTAAGCTAAGCAGTGGAACATTTAGGAGAAGATTGTGTGCTCAGATCGTCAATAAAAGTATTTCCTACATGGTCAAATACAGAACCACTTTCCATAAAATAACTAAACTTGACCAAAGCGTTAAAGAACAAAGGAAACTAAGGTTAAGGGGTAGGAGGCTTAAAGGAATATACACTTTGTTAGCTCAAATCGTTAATTGGAAAGTTGAGGGAATATTAGCCAACCATCCACAATTGCAACAAGAATTGATGGATTATAAAGAAATAGAGAGCAATACAAAAAGTATCAGTTCCAGTACACAAACAATGTCAGAAGATGAAGAAGAAACAGATGATTTACAAACATCTACTGAAGGAATTAACTCACTGATGTGTTATAGGAATAGCATAGAGAATCTGTCACAAAATGGTGATGATTTTCAGACAACAGAAGAAGGAATCGTTGGGCGTTATAATACATTAATAAGTGAATTAAAGGATATCCAACAACTAACGAGGCCCAAGTCATTTTCCAAACAAATAAGAAATAAAAAAAGGGACTGTTATCTAGTGATACGTTCAATGTACACAAATCTCAAAATGGGCAAAATAAATAGTCATCGCATTGCAAAATCGATAAACGTTTGGCTGCGATTTGATGCACAGATTCGAAATTTAATGGATGATTTCAATGACTATATTGTAAGGGTCATCGATTTTAGGTTAAAAAATTGGCCTCCAAAGGAGGAAGATAACCGACATAACCTTTTCGAATTCGAAAAACCTAAAACCGCCCCAAGACCAATAGAGAAGCTCAATGAATGTACATATAATAAAAAATTAAGAGTGTTAATTAATAACAAAAACAAAAAAATCCTAGGTGGCTATAGGTCACTAAAACTAGGTACTGACTGGACTTCCAAGTACCACGAAATCATTCAAAGAAAATTCATTAAAGTAGAGCAATTTCAGCAACAAAAGGATAGTTATGTCATCCAAGCAGGTAAAATGGCCGCCAAGGGTTGTGAAAAAGTTGTAAAGAAATGTCTTTATGCTCTCAGTCTTTTTGGTTTCCAGAAAAAAGACTTGGAACTGGCACTCTTAATTTATGCTAAATTAAGAATTATGGTGAAAACGGAACCGAAGGTAAGATATCCTTGTAAAGACAAATTATTAGAAGAAAGAGGTTTTTTGAATACAAAATATCAAATATATACCGAGATTATTGAACAACACCTCGAAAATACATCTAAATTTAATTCTCAATATATATCGTGGAGAAGATTGGATAACAATTTCATGAATAAGGTTATGGTAGAATATTGCGGAAATCATAAACTGGGAATAGAAAAATATTTTTACGGTCTCGATTTGAGGCAAACGAAAACTAGGAAATCCCTCAATGAAAATGAACTATTCGATCTTCATGACTACAAATATTATGATTATAAATCTGATGACGATTTCTCCAACAAATTAGATTACTCCTCGGATTCCTGCTATGAAAATAAAATTAACGTAGCCGATTGTTGTGTATGTGAAGACAAAGTAGAATATCATTTAGATACAGATAACAATGTGGATTGTAAAATAAATACTGGCAGAAGAATTTCCAACACAATAGATATGAAAGAATTAGTCAGTACTGATTCTAATAATCTCAAGTCCGATATAATTTCTGTCATACGTCATCATCACATGTCCCTCAGAAAATCCCAATCTAATTTCACAGACGAAAGTGATACGGAATCATATCCCGACCTCTATAAAAACTCAAACAATTTTCATAAACATTCTAGAAAGTTTGTATTAAGAAACCTCAACCATCATAGACAAGATAAGTATTCATATAAAATTGACGTATCGTCTGATAATGATTCTTCATCAACTTCATTCGATACAAAATTTAAGAAAAGTTACTTCCGAGATAAAGACAATATGGTAAAACGTATACCGGCTATTATGGAATCGGACATGAGAATTCAGAGTCGGAGAAAAGAAAAGAAACAGAAATTCGCCTTGAGGGTAAAACTGGGAGGTGAATTGTGTTGGCGAAAAACACCTAAGAAATTAAAAGATACATTTGAAAGATTTTTGAGTTATAAATTATCTTATTTAGTGTTTAGTTGTCGCGATTTTAGAAGACATGTTGCTCCTGAGTATCACTCTATTTACTATTTACGCAACTTACCTTTACTTATAAGACAGCACAAAGACAAACCTCTCTTGTTCACCTCAATAGCGAACTTTCGATCCAGGATTTTCGAAAGAGATGATAGAGATAGAGTACGGTTCGATCTAAATATAAGAAGAGGAACCGAAGATATGTTTTCCTATTACATGGATCCAGACCAAAGCCTTTCGTCAAGTCAATCAGGAAGCGATAAAAGTAAAGAAAAATTAAAGACAACCTCCATATTCCATTACGAAAACTCGTTCTTATCAAAGTATAATGACACTTACCACAATTTAAAAGGTTATGACTTTTTAAGATTGAAAGAAGAAACAAGAAATGAAATCGAACACTTTAAACAATTATTAAGATACGAAAAGGAATGTTTGGTTCAAAATGCCCATAGCAATGATATACTTATGGAAATAGCTGTAAGGGCAGAAGAAGGACACACGGAAGAGTCACTACTGAGCCAAAGAAGCTTCATCCACAAAATACGTCCTAATTATAAATTTGGGGTCTATAATTTCGACCCCAAAGAATGGCAAGAAAACTTTGATTGGATTAAAAATAATGTATCGTTTGGTGAGCATGTTCGAAAGATAAAAAAATAAATTGAATAGTAATCAATATGTCATTATAATTATAATAAAGTCAGTTATTAATATGCTTTTTCAATTTGAAACGAACCTAGATAACTATTTAAAAAAAAAAAAAAGGATGAAAAATGTTTGTACAAAAAATAATAACCGTCCTAGAATTTTGAAAAAACAAATTCAATTTAAAAAAATATCTCAATAAAGTTAAAGGTAGATTTAATTTGAAATTTTCATATGTTTTAATATAATTTCTATATTTAGTGGCATTGACGATATCTTTTGTGATATGTTCACGGTTATAGGTAGTGTTGCCCAAAATCGGTCTTGTTCTTGGTCTTGGTCTTGCACTTTTGCAAGATCAAGACCAAGACCGTCTTATTGGATGCAAGACCAAGACCAAGACCGGACCCTGCAAAACCGCGAGACTGCCTGCAAGACTCTTGCGGTCTTGCAGTGAAGTCAAACTGAAACTATTTTCAGATATAGTACGGTGCTTAAGCATTTTAACCGTGCATTAAATCTAAACAGCGTTGTTTTTCTTGTTGAATTGTATATTTGAGAACAGCTTTTCAAATAATAACAAAAAAATAATTATTTGTCAGGACCGGAGCAAGATAGCAAAATCAAGCGGTTTTATGAATAAAAATTAATACAAAATAGTTACTAGTACTTGACCATTTTAGTTACTTTAGTAAACCTCTCAGAAGTGGACACTTACGGGAAAACAAAAATTGTCCGATATAGAGGAATGTCCGTTTTAGAAAAAAAATTTTATAATAAAATTGCACATATGAAACGTAAAATTGTTTGTATTTGTTAGTTTTTTGGCCAAATATGTATTTTTTTAAAATTTATTAATCATTTTTATTCTGAGGGGACTTTGTTCCAGAATAAAATTTCTTTTCTATTCTATATAGATACCAAAAAGATTTGTAATCGGTATTTTTTGTTTGAACTATCATAACTATTTTATTTTCCAAATTGTTATGGATGGATAAAATCGTTACAATTCTTTCACTTTCCTTCTTCAAAATAAAAATTGTTTTTCAGCCTACAAATCTGTGACAGAACTTCTACAATATTCATTGAGGTTTTGGAGGATTCATATATCACGAAAATGTATTTATTGTCAGTTCATAGGTTCAGCGAGAGAATTGCTCAAAATGATAGTGCGAACGCTGGTGGGTTAAGGCATGAACCTGCCGAAATCATTCATATGTTACTTGAACTACGGCATATACTAACTACTCATATTTTTTTTCTATTAACGTTTCCGCGTTTTGCTTTTCACAGTTATTCACAGTTATTTCTTTAAAATGCCTAACCGCCAAGTTTTAATCGAGTAGCTAAATTGCGAATAATAAGCTTTTCCGATACAATTATTAATAGCATAACTTTTCTTTGAAATTTAACCGGAACTGTGTTGACATGTTACAATCAAATCTGTGGAAATGACAACAAAAGGCTAAGACTTAAGACTCTAAACTCTATCTTAAAACCGAATTCACAGTAGGCATTATTGAACTAAGCGGCATTCGATTGGAGTAACGCTCTCAGAACATGAGCTCACAAGCTCGCTGCAGTCGGCTATGGAGAAACTTTCCAACCAAAATCTTCGTCTCATGTGTGCCCGCATCCGTTATACAGGAAGTCCAGTATGTAGTCATTTAAGTAGTAAAATTAGCTGGGATTATAAAATTGTCAGCGTAATAACTTGATGGTATATAGTGGTAACATAGCTACCCATCAAACATTTTAAAATCATCAAACATTTTCGGGCAATTTTTGGTTCCTCGTGAGTGTCCGCTTCTTGTAAAGAGAAGTTTCACTATGGTAAATAAAATGGGCTAGTATTAGTAACCATTTAGTTTTTATTTTTATTCATGAAAACGCGTTCTTTTGTTTTGTTTTCTTATCTTGCTCCGGTCCTGGCAAATGAATAATGTATAGGGGCGGGGTGGCCGAGCTGACTAACGAGTGTCCACAGCACTGCGCGTTGCCCGACAACCTGATAACCGAAGTTGGAGACAGTAAAATAATTATGAATTCGCGTCCCGCTGTCCGCGGAGGGGGGATATACAATTCCACAAGAAAAAAACAACGCTGTTTAAATTAGATGGTTAAAGTATTTAAGCACCGTACTATATCTGAAAATAGTCTCAGTTTGACTTACTGCAAGACCTGCAAGACTGTTGCAGGTCTTGCACAAGTCTTACAGGGTCTGGTCTTGTCTTAATCTTGCAACAATTTTGTGGTCTTGGTCTTGGTCTTGCAAAGTGCCAAGGCTAAGACCAATTTTTGGATTACAAGTCTCTCTTGGACCCAAAAGATATTCTACTTGCACCCCTGCATATCAAGCTGGGTTTGATGAAAGATTTTGTCAAAAGTATGAACCAAGAAGGATGGACTTTTAAGTACATAAGATAAATTTGTCCAAAATTAAGTGATGCAAAAGTTAAGGAAGGCATTTTTGTCTGGTCACAAATTTATAGTACATGTGAATGTTAGGATTAATTAATTGATGTTATTTGTTATTGTATATTCTACCTACAACAAGGATGAAGAGTTAAAAAATGAATGTAATAAGCTAGAAGAGGATTTGGGGAAATCATCACCAAAAATAATGATCAGACAATTCCCTTTTCTACTGTAGATAATCAAACAAGTGATATTGAAAAGGTTCAAGGTCAAGGTAATGAAAGTCTTGAATCTAAACAGGAACCTATTGTGAGTGAAGTTGATGAACCTGTATTAGCCGTACCCTGCTTAGGCGAGTATAGAAAAATTGAAAAAGAAGGAACTATCTTCGAGGAGCAAGAAAACGTAGCCTCTACATTAAATGATGAATCTGAAAATCTCAGAGGAAATATTAAAGAAATTGGTGGAAAAGTGGTAGGAATTACAAAAGGCCAAGAAGAAACATTAAAATGTTATGTATTAGGTTCCATAATCATCAAAGAATTATTTTTCCAGGTCGATAAAGAGACCCATGAGCTCTTAGCCAATAAAGAAGAATATATAGGCCCCACAACTTCAGTCGAACCCCCGATATCAGAACGGACGTCTCTGAAAGTAGAAGGTGAACCAGCCAAAATAGATGGGCGGAACAAAAAACTATTGACTCATAAAATATCGTTACCTAGAATTAATTAATTTGTTTATTATAGGAATACAAAAACAGAGCCAATCACCATTCCTATTTTAAAAGATGATGAATATAAGGGTTATATGGCTCTGGACCATGTTAGAGCAGGCCGTTTAATGTCTTATTTTAAGACACGGTAGTCTTTGTCCCATTCCAGAGGGCAAAAAGGGGTTTTTAATTTAGCGTCCCTTCCGTTGACGAGCTAATGGATCCTAGCAGGACCATCGTTAGATTACTCATTCTGGATAAGTTGTAAATAAATTTTATACAATTAATTGTAAATATAATTTTGTAAATAGGATGTTAGGATATGGACTTTAATGACAAATTTCTAGAGCTGAATGTAAGGAATCTCAGGCTGAATCGACCAAAATAAAATTAAAATTGAATTAGTCATACGATCTTATGATAATAGTTAAAATAAAAGTAGACTCAAAACCTTTTTAATAATATATTTGAGTTACTAAACTTTTATTAAAAAAAAAAAAGGGAATGACCGAAAATAAATCATTATTGAATAAAGGTATAAAAGTTTTCATTTTAATATAAATGTATAGTGGCCAGATTGATAGGAGTAAAATCTAGTTATAATTTAGTTGCTTGGCAATAATAACTTCCAGTTATTAACAATTCGAGTATATTTTTAACGTTACATGTTAACAGGCTAGTTTACGTTTCGGGACCTTTATTCCCATCTTCAGAACTGCAATTCCAATACTCTTGTGGATGCAAGGCTAAACATTTTTTAAGTTACAATATTGTGCTTGTTACATTACATATTTGTATTATGTTTGTTACAATAAATTTGTAATTACCTTAATTTTAATAATAATAATAATAATGTGCTCCATCGTCAATTTTCTAATTTATGTTCTAAAATTTATCATCTAGAGCAACATCCTCCTTTTGACCAATAATTGGGTTTCTGCCATAGTGAAAAATTGACCTTTGGATCTAAATGTTTTATCTGACTATTTTGATTGTTGTTGTTAGTGTTTATTTTATGTGTCTGTGATTTCACTTCTATTAAATTTTAATTTTGTTCAATATGTCTGTATAATGGGTTCCTAAATGTTTAGTGTCTGTTTTGTAGTTGACTGTTGTTCTGTTGTTTTTTGTAATGTGTATTGCTTCAAGTAATTTTCTATTGGTGTTTTTTGGTTCTGTGCCTATTATCTGTGGTTTGTTAAAGTTAAATTTATGCTGTAGTTTTATACTGTGATGTGCTAAGGCTGTTGTGTTTATGTTTTTTGGATTTTTACAGTTGGTGATGTGTTGTGAGATTCTAGTTCCTAATTGTTTGGATGTTTCACCAATGTAGATTTTGGGGCAGTCTTGACAGTTTAATTTATATATTGCATTTTTCTTGTTTATTGGTTCTATTTTATCTTTTGTGTTGGTGATGTGCCTGCTTAGTTTCTTGTTATTGTATTGTCCGAATTTAATTTCTGTCAAGTCATAATCTTTGAACACGTTTTTAATTTTGTTAGTGAGTCCAGGTATGTATGTTATTTTGTAGTGGTAGTTGAAGTCCATTTTGTTTGTTTGTGCTATGTTATCCTGACTGTTTTCGTTTGTTGGATTTGTTTTTTCAAAAAATTGGGTGATGAATTGCTGTGTAGGTTTCTTTATTGTAGTGTTTTCTTCTGGTGTTTTTTGTATTGTTTGTTTTTTGGTTCTAATTTTGTTATGGTTTATTGTTGTATGTAATCGACTGTACCAACGTTTGTTGATTAAGTTTATGGGGTAAAAGTTCTCGATAAGTATTTTGTATATTTCTGTTTTTACTTGTGGGATGTAAGGTTTGTCAGTGAGTTCTATTGATTTGTGAATTAGGTTTTTGGCTGTGTTAATTATTTGATGTTTGGGATGGTTT